ATTGACAAAAGGATTTTTGACAACCCCAAAAGACAAATAACAAAGCAAAAGTAAATAAAACAGGAACATAATAATTTACGTGGTTCGATCAAATTGACCTACGTTCACGGACAGAGGAGAAGCAATATTTTACTATAAAGAAGAGGGTACAAAATGCCTTAGGAAAGTGTTCCTAACCCCAAAACACCTAATACTTAAAACACAAGAGAGTCCAAAATATTTTACTAAATAAAAGGTTTAATGACCCAAAAATTCAAATAACCCACTAAAGCTCTCTTGGTTTGGTGCACTTGTCATAGGCCCATTATATTTATAGGCAACTAAGGGAAATGTTCCCTTATACAAAAAGCGATGTGGGACAGCGCCACTTTAACAAATCTCTATCTTGGTGTGTCCCCAACATCGACAATAGCAAAACTGCTCCACCTTCTCCACATAAGCCCCAATGGGCCTAAATCACCAATGACGAATACCAACCAAATTCAAGCATTGTTTGAACTTGTAAACTGGAAGAGACTTCGTGAATATGTCAGCAGGATTCTCGTTCGTACTAATTTTTTGAACAAGGACTTTTCCCTCAACAATAGTATCTCGAATGAAATAAAATTTTACGTCAATGTGCTTCGTTCTCTCATGATACATCTGGTCTTTAGTCAAATGAATGACATTTTGACTATCACAGTAAATAGTAGTAACACCTTGATGCAGATTAAGTTCACCAAACAAACTCTTCAACCACAAGACTTCTTTGATTGCCTCGGTCATGGCCATATACTCTGCCTCCGTAGTAGATAAAGCTACAACAGGTTGTAGAGTAGCTTTCCAACTAACTGCACAACCGCCAATACAGAATACGTAACCTGAAAGTGATCTTCTTATGTCAAGATCCTTAGCATAGTCAGAGTTTACAAAACGAATCAAAGTGTTATTATTTCTCCCAAACTTCAAACAACAATTTGAAGTCCCTCACAAGTATCTGAGAATCCATTTCACAGCCTACCAATATGCTTTTCTAGGATAAGACATATATCTACTAACCACACTGACTATTTGTGCAATATCTGGACGAGTACAAACCATTGCATACATAATATTGCCGACTGCACAAAAATAAGAAACTCGTGCCATATACTTTTTCTCTTTAATTGACAGTGGTGATTGAGCAGCAGATAGTTGAAAATGACTAGTAAGAGGAGTAGTCATAGGTTTAGCATCTTTCATGCCAAACTTCCCCAAGGCTTTCTCAGGGTAATTTTCTTGAGTCAAGAATAACTTTTCAACTCTTTAGTCTCTTTTGATCTCCATGCCAAGAATTTTAGTTGCTTCCAAATGTTTCATTTCAAATTCACTACTTAGCTGCAACTTCAAAGTATGAATTTCTGACAAATTCTTGGCAGCAATGAGCATGTCATCAACATAAATCAACAAATAAATGAAAGAACCATCATCTAACTTTCGGAAGTAAACACAACTGTCATACATGCTCCTTGAATAACCATGATCCAACATAAAAGTGTCAAACCTCTTATACCACTCTTTTGGAGATTGTTTCAATCCATATAAGGATTTCTTTAGCAAACAAACATGGTCTTCCTTTCCTTCAACTTCAAGTTCCTGAGGTTGCTTAATATAAATTTTCTCTTCAAGTTCACCATGTAAGAAAGTTGTCTTAACATCAAGTTGCTCCAACTCCAAATCATACATAGTAACTAAAGCAAGCAAAACACGAATAGAGTTATACTTAATAACAGTTGAAAATATTTCATTAAAATCAACACCTTGTACCTGACTATAGCCCTTTGCAACCAAATGTGCTTTGTACCTTGCATTTTCGACCCCTAAAATACGTTCTTTCTTCTTGAAGATCCATTTGCATACAACAATTTTCTTATCTGAAGGCGGCTTCACAAGAACCCAAATTTCATTTCGATGGAGAGACACAATTTCTTCATTCATTGCAATCAGCCATTTAGTAGAGTCATCACAAGAAACTACCTCTAAATAGGTAGTAGGCTCATCGACTACATCAGTTTCTTCTGCAACAGACAAAGCATATGCAACCAAATTTATATATCTTTGTAGTGGTCAAATATCCCTCCTTGGTCTATCTCTGACAATGGAATATTCTTTCTCTTTTGAATTATTTTCATCAGTAGATTCAGATGCGTCTACTGGCACTTGTTGAATAGAAGGACCAGAACTACCAATGTTAAACTCCACCTGCTTCTGCATACTATCATCTGCTTGACAAGAACTTGAAGATTCCTTCTTGAAAGATAACATAGAGAATTCATCAAAAGTAAAATTTCTACTGATTATAAATTTTGAAAATTTGGGATCAGGACACCATAATCTGTATCCTTTCATCCCACAAGCATACCCAAGAATAATATATTTTTTAACTAGATGTTCTAATTTTTTATCATTTACAGGCATGTATGCTTGACACCCAAAAATTTTAAAATCAAAATAATCAGCGGGAGTACCTGACCAAACTTTTTCAGGAATTTTGAAATTAAAAGTAGCATAAGGAGCACGGTTGACAATATAACAAGCCATAGAGATCGCCTCTGCCCAAAAGTCCTTTGTCAACCCTGCATTAGAGATCATGCACCTCGCTCTCTCCAAAAGTGTTCTGTTCATACATTCGGCCACACCATTTTGTTGAGGCGTCATCCTGACAGTACGATGCTGAGCAATTTCTTCATTCTTGCAAAATTCATCAAATTCTTTTTCACAAAATTCCATGCAATTATCTATTTTTTTTCCCCAAAATGGTGACATTAAAGACATTATATGAAAAATGCCAATAATTGTCAAAAAATCACTAAATTTACCAATTTATTAAAATGAGTAACAAATATAGTCAATTTGGTGATTTTAACAACAATTATATATATATATATTTTTCAAATAAAATCGCTTTATTGAACTTGAGAGCAAGCGAAAGAAAGCATACAAGCATACAACGCTCATCTACCCCACCTCCTACGAAAATTAGGAAACCCTACGCGCTCCAAAGCTAGTTCCCCCTGAACATTACAAGGCAAAGCAGAAAGGTTAGTAAAGACCCTCTCCTGCTCCGAATCCGCTCCCATGTTAGCCAGGCAATCAGCAGGCTTGTTTGCCTCTCGATAGCAATGCGTGATCTCCGTGAAGTATGGCTTATAGGTGATCAACTCGGACATCTCCTGTTGGAGTCGTCACGGGCAGCTTTGACTCCCTTGCAGAATCCGCACCAAGCTGAGCGAATCTGACTCGATATGCAACCCATACAAACCCTGAGCGACACATAACCGCACCCCAAACAGCATTGCCCTGAGCTCCGCATGCAAACTCGTCAAGGAACCAAAGAAACAAGAATAGCCGAAAATGAGCTTCCCGTCCCTATCACGCACCACACCTCCACCTCCACTAATCCCCGGATTCCCTCTAGAGCATCTATTTGAATTCAATTTATACCCTCCTGTAGGAGCCACCCATGCCACCTGAATAATAGAAACCCTCCGCCTCATACCCACCAATGCCGAGTGAAAAGCATCCCATGACCCAAAAGAGCCATCTATCTCCGGGAAACGGCAATGAAATAAAGCACACAATTGTAGAAATACCTGACGCACCACCTCCGTACTCACCGCTCTCCTCCCCTCAAATATCCCTGTGTTTCGCGCTTTCCACAACTCCCAACAGACCAGCATTGGGAGTAACCGATATACGAACTTGAGGTACACATTATGTCCCCGGCGCAACCACCACCACACGACCAGATGACACACCGTGAAAACCCTAGCCAACTCCCCCTGACATTCCTCAAAGCTAGCCCAAACAGCCTTTGTTAATTCCCCCGTGCAGAAGGTGTGCTGGATCCCTTCCTCACTCGGCTTAGAGCAACACCGACACCTAGACGGGCCCTGAACCCCAAATCTCCGTAGCATATCCATAAGGGAAAGGCGCGATCGCAACAGCCGGAGCATGAAGAAGGAAATCTTGAGGGGGCAACCTTGCAGCCAAACTTGTGAAGCAACCCAAGAGCAAGTAGCCGACTTTGTAACAGCGGAGTAAGTCGAGGCTACCGAGAACGGCCCATCAGCCGTTAACGCCCAAACCACCCTATCCGCACCTCTAGAGGCCGGGGGAGATACCTGCACCACTTGCCTCACTAGCTCCGGCGCCAATATCTGATTAAGGAGTCGCCAGTTCCATTGTGCCTGAAAGACAAGATCTGCCATCCTATGCTCATGAAAAATATCTACCCGATGGCACAACGCTCTTGTACCCATCCAATTATCATGCCAGAAATCTATGGAACCCTCACCAAGGACCCAGCGGATATGCTCCTCCGCCAAATCCTGAACTGACCTCAATCTCCGCCAAGTGGCGGACTGTGAAGAGACCTCTTCTGCCAAACAAGGATGCACTCCATTACAATATTTCGCTGACAGAAATTGCGCTCATAGCGACTTTTGCTGCCGAAAATTTCACCAAAGCTTAATGGAGAGTGCATCATACACCTCAGCAATACTACGAAATCCGACCCCTCCTGCCTCCGGAGGCCGGCATAGCTCCTCCCAACTTATCCACTGCCACCTAGGACCAATCTCTGATGAGCCCGACAAAAAGGCTACTATCACCTTCTCGAGGGACACAAACACTGCCTTTGGCGGTGATGTCGCCGCTAACAAGTGGATCGGGATTGAAGACAGCACGCTTCTGAGCAAAACTAGTTTGCCCCCAGACGATAGGACCCGATTTTTCCATGATAAGATTCTAGCCGTTACCGCACTGCAGACATCTGCAAAATAATACACTCATCTCCTCCCAATGTACAAAGGACATCCAAGGTATTTGATAGGAAATGACTTGTGCGAGAAGCCCGTAACCGTCCTGATCATTGCTCGTCGTTGCGGAGGCACCCTGGGGTGCACCAAAAAATAACTCTTTTGACAGTTAACTCGCTGCCCCGACAGAGAACAATACCCATCGACTACCTGCTTGACCAACTACACCGAGGCCTTGATGCTGCTGGTGAAAATGATCACATCGTCAGCATATGCCAAGTGCGTGACCATAGGGCATCCACTCGGAACTTTGAAGGGATGGAAACGCCTATGCACCGTCAAGGCATTCAGAGAACGTGAAAGCACATCCGCTCCAATGACAAATAAAGCCGGCGATATCGGATTCCCCTGGCGCAAACCTGGGGCGGACTTGAAAAACCCCTTCAGCGAGCCATTCACAATGACAAAAAATCACACATTTGACACCAGCCTCCATACCATATCAATCCATAGCTCGCTAAACCCAAATCACCGAAGGACTTGTATTTAAAACAGCCACGATACCCTATCGTAGGCCTTCATCATATCCAACTTGAGCACCACATTCCCTCCCCGGTTGGGTTTCCTAATATCGCTTAACAACTCCTAATCTAAGAGAAAGTTATCCGTCATTTGTCGTCCTGGCACGAAACCACTCTGTTGTGGCGAGTTAATCCGAGGAAGGACCCTAGCCAGTCGAACGGATAAGAGTTTAGATATGGCCTTATTGACAAAGTTGCATAAACTTATCGGTCTGAATTGTGTAAAATCCTTTGGGCAGAGAACCTTAGGCAACAAGACAATGGCAGTAGCGGTGACACATCTCGGCAACTCCGCGCCACAAAAGAAGCTCTCTATGGCACGGTGAACATCCTCAACAACCACCTCCCAAGCAGCCGTGAAAAACTTCCCTGTAAAGCCATCCGGACCCGCGGCACTGTCCCCATCCATTGAAAACAAGACCTCCTTCACTTGGTCCATAGAAGGGATCTCCCTCAGCCCGCTGTTATCCTGATCATTAATAACCCTCGGAATGACCTCCAACATGTCACTGGAGGCTCTTCCCACCTCCTCTGTAAACAAACCCTGGAAGAAAGAGACGGCCTCATTACAAATACTTGCCTCATCGTCCACCCAGTCGCCATTTGTCCTCCGAATCCGATGAATAACAGACTTTCGCCGCCTCTCCGTCACAACAGAATGAAAGAAAGCCATATTCCGGTCACCATCCGCCAACCACTTAACCCGAGCTTTCTGCTTCCAAAATTCTTCTTCAACCACCAAAGCATTGCGTAACCGAACTCGTGCCTTGTGTAGTTGTATCAGCAATTTCTCGGAAGGGTTGTCATCATGGGCTAGTTCAGCCTCTACCACCTTTTGCTCCGCCGACTGAATCTCCAAGAATATATCCCTAAAAGAACTCCTAGACCATTGGCGAAGCGCTTGTTTCGTCTTTCGGAGCTTCTCTGATAAAACCTTGAGAGGCGAACCAGGAAGGGAGCCAGACCAACACTGTTTAACGACATCCAGGAAACCAGGTTTTGTTGTCCAAACATTCAAGAAGTGGAACGGCAATGGCTTACCATCCAATCTCGTCACCGCAGATAACAGAAGCGGCGCATGATCCGATGGATCCTTCCCCAAATGCCGTACTGTGAAATCACTTTCCATCCTCATAGCCGCCGAGTTAATCAACAGCCTGTCTAACCGTCTCCAAACCCTAGCCATACCCTGCCTATTATTGCACCAAGTATACCTAGACCCCGAGAAGCCAGCATCTCCAACCCCTGCTAAAGACATGAACTGTGCTAATTCCACCCCATCAGCCTGCCTGAAAGGAACGCCGCCCCGTTTCTCCTCTACAGACAAAATCACGTTAAAATTCCCCACCAGAAACCAGGGCTTAACCTCCTGCTTCTCTCGCAAAAGCTCTCCCCATAGCCCTTCCCTCTCCTGGGCAATGTACTTTGCATGAACGAATGAAAAGTATATCTTCTCAGGCAATAATTGGGAAATCACGCGCAGCGTGATGTGCTGCTCCGATTCTCCTATTGTATAGCAATCAAACGACGAATTGTACAAAATCCAAACACTACCTGATTGATTTGCAACAGCTAAGTCCATTCCCACCTTCACACGGATAGAATCCAGGTTCAGTAGGGATGTCTTAGGTTCACAAATCGCCACCAAAGATACTGAATAAAGTTTAACAAGTTTGCGTAACCTTTTTAAATTAGGGGCGCGAGAGATACCCCGAATATTCCAAAAAGACATCTAATCATCAGATAACGCTAAGCAAGAATTTTGTGAAGCGATTACTCTAGAGTGTAAAATATGACTAGACGGAGCATTGACCTTAGTACCTTTCTTCTGCCGCTCATCTTGCCGCACCAGAGATAATTCGTTAGGCTCCAGGTTCAGTGCACCCAACTGATGGTCACTTACCAGCGAAGATAGTACGTCAGGCACCATGTGAGAGTCACCTCTTGGTGAAAGATTACCCACCCGCTCCTGCAACTCACGAAGCTCTTCCTCTTCTGCCAAGACATCTTTAGAATCCATGTGAGCCTCTGTTGGTCGCCGTTCCGCTGATCCCATGCGCACATCATTACCGTAATCATCTTCCTCCTTGCTCAAATCCTGCCCTCCCACCAACACCACCTCAAATCCTTCAACCGCTACTGCACCATTACCGCCGAACTCCTGCTCATGGTTCAACTCCTTCTCAGCCAACACCACCACCTCCGCAGAAAGTTGCTCAGCAACCTCGACCGCTACCACTGTCTGCGGCTCAGCCAACGCAGCCGTAGCACTAGCAGATTGGGATGTGGACACCATAACACCAACCATAGCTTGAGGCTCCACCAGCGCTACCGTCCCGCTCGAAGGCTCCAAGCTGGACACCTTCGTCGCTGCGGCCTCCTCAACTGCTGCTGAATTTGCAGCCAGCGCTGTGCCATCTTGCACCACCTCGCGCTGCCTCTGCCTGGGCTTAATACCCCCTTCAGCAGGCTGCCCAGGCCTCTCCCCGTCTCCCCCCACTTTGACAGGCTTCAATGCTGGGTGCAACACATGGCAACCCACCTCCGTGTGCCCCTGCCTGAAGCAGTGGGAACATAAGGGGGAAGGTTTTCCGGCACCAGCTCCTGCCAGAATCTATCATGCTGTCCGGTCCCAATCCATACCCTTGAAGGCCTTTGCTTCATCAAGTCCACCTCCACGCAGACCCTAGCAACGCTAGGTCTGGAAACCGCCAAAGTTGCCGCATCAACTAACAGAGGCACGCCCACCATCTCAGCAATTTGGAACAACGTTTCCTTATGGAACAAATGCAAGGGCAGCTTGGGCACCTGGAACCACACCGGGACAACAGATGGCTCACGATCTACATGAAACGATGGAGTCCATTTAAAGACCCTCATCGGATGTCCATGAACGTACCAAATCCCCCTTGCCCACACTCTGTGAAAATCAGCATCCGAATGGAACTGCAGCAGCACATGGCATGCGTCCAACAAGCCCACAGTTGCTGGGTCACGCAAGTCTAACTTGCGCAAAAAACCACGTACATCCTCTAGCTTCGGTCTACCCCTTGAGAACTTGCCCACCAATGCATGTCGATATGGGGCCGCAAGCTTTTCCATGGCTATTTGCGAGAATATCAACGCAGGCTCCCCTTTGTGGGTGGAGGGAGTCGCCTGAACGGACAGCGAAGGCGTGGCTGCATTGCTTGAAAATAAAGCAGCAAAGGACTTGCGGAGAAAAGATGGAGATGAAGGAGCCTGGCCCCCAGCGTGAGGCTGGAGGGCCTCCATGGCCGTGGACATGCAACCTAGCCGCCGCCACCAACCCTAGTTGAGAGAGAAAGAAACTCGTTGGGGACTATTATGATATTTCAGTAAAATTGTTAGAAACCTCAAGGGAAGTTTCTGAAATCATCCTTTCCAATTATCTATTCTAAGCCGCTTGATCTGTTTATCTGTTTGATTTTCAATCAAAACTTTTCATTGCTTGAAAGTGAGGTAAACACCGTTCTTATGTTTAAGAAAATAAACCAAACTTTCCTTGAATAATCATCAATGAAAGTCAACATATATCTGGCACCACCCGTAGACGAAACACGAGATGGATCCCATAAATCTGAATGAATATAATCAAAAGTATCTTTCGTCTTATGGATTGTTGAAGAACTGAAACTAACTCTTTTTTGCTTCCCAAAGATGGTGTTCACATAATTCCAGTGACCTAGTACTCTGACTGCAAAGAAGTCCCCTTTTGTTTAGTATGCCCAAGTTTTTCTCGCTCATATGTCCCAAAAGCATATGCCACAATTTGGTGTTATCAGAATCAGACAAAGATGATGATAATGAAACTGCAATCGAGCTTGTGACAGTAGATCCCTGCAAAATATATAAACTACCAACCCTGCAAGTTTTCATTATAACGAGAGCACCTTTAGAAACCTTCATAATGCCATTTTTAGCTGTGTATTTGCACCCAAGAGCCTCTAGGGTGTCCAAAGAGATGAGATTCTTTTTCAAAATAGGAACATGTCTAACATTAGTGAGCGTGCTCACAATACCATCATGCATTTTAATTCAGATTATACCCTTACCAACAATATTACAAGCGGCATTATTGCCCATCAAAACAATTCCACCATTATAAGATTCATCAGTGAAAAATAAATCCCTATTAGGACACATGTGATAAGAGCACCCCAAATCTAAAATCTATTTATTTTTAGACTTTGTCCTAACATCAATCACAAAGAAAATATTTCCTTCATTCTCATCAGCTGCAACACCAGTTTTGGCAGTTTCAATATTTTTCTCACTAGGTCTCCCCTTTTGTTTCAATCTATTTTTCAATTTGAAACAATTTGCTTTAATATGCTCGATTTTATGACAATAATTGCACTCCAAATTTCTATGTTTAGGTTTAGATCTAGATTTAGATCTACTATTGTCAAATTCTCTTTTCTCGATTCTGTCCCTAACAATCAGACATTCCGCCTGACCTCCACTAAATTTCCCAATAATATCCCTATCTATCTGCTCCTTAGATTTTAATGCAGATTTAATTTCTCGATACGAAATTGTTTCTTTTCCATAAATCATAGTATCACGAAAATATTTAAAAGATTGGGGAAGAGAACATAAAAGTAATAGGGTCTGATCCTTATCATCAATTTTTGAATCTATATTCTTTAAATTCATAATAATGGAATCAAATTTATCAAGATGTGAGAGTATAGATGTACCTTTAGTCATGCGAAACATATACAGACTTTGCTTTAAATAAAGTCGATTCTCAACTGTCTTCTTCATATACAAGGTCTTAAACTTATCCTACATGGCCTTTGTCGAAATCTCAATGGCTACCTCCCGCAAAATCTCGTCAGAGAGATTTAAAATAATACTGGACCTTGCCTTTTTATCCATCTCAACACAATTTACATCTATCACGCCTTCTGGCTTTTTCTCAATTCCCTGTATCGCTAGATCAACTCCGTCTTGAACCAAAATGGCCTCCATCTTGAGTTGCCACATCTCGAAATTGACATTCCTGTCGAATTTCTCGATGACAGTCTTTGTTATTGTCATTGTTGCCACAAAATCCAAAACCTCTGAAGAAGCTTTGATACCAGTTTATTAGGTCGGCTCCAGGAAATTGACGAAAAGATTTTTGACAACCTCAAAAGACAAATAACAGAGCAAAAATAAATAAAATAGGAACACAAGAATTTACGTGGTTCGGTCAAATTGACCTACGTTCACGGGCGGAGAAGGAGCAATATTTTATTATGAAGAAGAGAGTACAAAAATACCTTAGAAAATTGTTCCTAGACCCAAAATATCTAATACTTAAAATACAAGAGAGTCCAAAATATTTTACTAAACAAAAGGTTTGATGACGTAGATGATCAAATAGCCCACTAAAACTCTCTTAGTTTGGTGTACTTAATCCCATCACAGGCCCATTATATTTATAGGCAACTAAGGGAAAAGTTCCCTTATACAAAATGCGATGTGGGACAACGCCATTTTAACACTTTGGACAAAGGCACATCCAAATATTGTAAAGGCAGCCTCTATCTATTAAACCCCAACAAGGAAGAGACCAGATTTATCTTTGCCATGGATGCTTTAGATAAGCAAACAAAAGAGCTCTTCCCGGTATTTACCTTTTGGCCTGACACACGCTGATATAACTCCAAAAAATTATGAATCTGCTTTAAACAGTTCTTGGACAACCTAGTGAAAATTATAGTGTCATCTACAAATGAAAGTAACGGAATATGCTTACTAGCAGATTGATAGTACATCCTCCGACCCTTTGCAAATAAATCATGCATCCACCTAGTCAAGAATTCCACAACAAGGAGAAAAAGAGCCGGAGATGCAGGTCTCCTTGCCTAACACCATGAAAGGACTTAAAAAAACCCGCCTTAACTCCTTTTATGAGAATTGAAAACCAATTATTGGACAACGTCCGGAAAACCAAATCAATAAACTACTCCCCAAACCCAAAAGCTCAGCACAAACATTAAAAAGGACCAATCTAGCCTGTCATAGGCTTTTTCCATATCCAATTTGCGAATTAAATTTGGCTCTTTTACCTTCTTGTCTAGATCAAGCACCAATTCCTAAGCCAGGAGTATAGTATCATCAATATGTCTGTGAGGTACAAAACTAGTTTGGTATGGGGAGATGATTTTTAGCAACACCTTAGCCAATCTAATAAATAAAATTTAAGATGAAACATTGCACAAACTTATCGGCCTAAATCCTTCCAATAGACCGCACCTTGCTCCTTCAGTACCAAAATCACCATAGTGCTTGTAAAACCTCTGGGTTGAGTAGCCCCAGAAAAGAAATCATGCACCACCACCAATAAATCCATTTTAATAATTTCCCAACAATGCTGAAAAAATATAGTCGAGTATCCATCTGGCCCTGCCGCACTTTTTTTGTGGATACTAAAAACTGCTTGTCGAACCTCAGCCTCCGTCGGCATTCCGTCCAACATCTCCACATCATCTTGGGAGAGCTTGGGTAGCTGAAATTGAAGACCATCCAAACATTTTACTCCAGACGAATAACTAAAGAGCTCCCAAAAAAATTTCACAGTCGAGTCTTGTATTGCCGAGGGTGATTCTACCCAACCATCATTATCATCTTTAATTCTAGCTATGTAATTCCTATTCCTCCTCTCCCGAACTAGCACATGGAAAAAAGCTGTGTTTGCCTCCCCTTGTTTCAACCACTTAATTGCCGCCTTTTGTCTCCAGAAGTCATTCTCTATGGCTAATAATCTAGCATGTCTGGCTCTAGCTTCACTTAGTTGAGACCTATACACATCTCCGCCTTGCTGATCATATATTTTTTGTATCCACTGCATTTCATCTTGAGCCTCTTGAATGTTCCGTTGGATATTGCCAAAGGCTTGGAGGTTCCAAGATCCCAGCTTTCTACTAAGTGCTACCAACTTTTGACAGAATGCCTCCATGCCCCGACCTCTTACAGGCTGATCCCATGACTCCCTTACTACTGACAAAAAATTCCTATGCGAAATCCACATATTCTGAAAATGAAATGAACCATGTCCCACCATGCTGCCTTTAGATTTCACTAACAAGAGGAGTGGTCCGAGCGCCCTCTCGACAAATAAGTTGAGTGAACAGAAGCATACATACTAGCCCAATCCGAATTAATAAATATGCGATCTAGCCACTGTCATACATAACCATTTGTCCAGGTGAATAGGGACCCATCAAATTCAACTATCGACACCCCTGTCTGGGCCATACAATTATTGACTTCTTCCATATCCCCTACCCTAGAAGCCACCCCTCCCCTCTTCTCCGAAGCTGCTAAAATCACATTAAATTTCCCACCTAACATCCATGGAACCTGTCACGCCCCGAGCCCGGACGTGCCCGTCACGTGGCATCCGCCGTATTCTCAAATTCCGCTCAAGAATACAAGGCATCATTTAACTAGTCTAAACTTCAAAAATACGAAATAATATAACTAAAATAAAGTGCAGTACAAATCACATAAAAAGGTAGTCTACGAATATCCCATATGTTCGTACATTTATTTTCTAATGGAAACAGCGGAATTGAAAATAAATAAGACTAACACCTAGAAGTAGCTAGCCTGCCAACTTCTATTCACTTAAAGCCAATAAAAGTCATCCTCAGGGTCTCCTACGTAAACCAACTCATACTCTTCAGAATCTGCAAGGATGGTAAAAAGTGGGTTGAGCGACAAATCGCCCAGTAGGTAATAACTACCCCTCTGTCGGACCATGTACTCGTAGCTTTACAGATACATATATATAGATACAAATCAAATCATTTGCACATCGATCACATTCGTAATTTGAAAGTAACGTCATTTATAAAACATCCAGTAGTAACAATTGGCAAGTAATTTAAAGGCACCTTATTGATAAATGAACATGGAAAATCATTTCGTCTCAATTCACAAGTCTCTTCACATCCACTCATAAATCAGTTCATAAGTCTCATTTCAGATCAATGCAATAAATCATTCCATATCACCTCATAAATCATTTCATCTTAGCTCATAACAAGTACATGTGATGACCGGCTACTGAGTACTCAGCCTAGAGATTAAATCCTTTTTGGGTGGACGACCAATAGGTTTCATGACTACCGATTGGCCTCTTTTCATACATGGGTCAATCGGCCAGACTTTATACCAGGTTACCATGACCTTGCCAATCGGCCGGACTTTATACCAGGCTACCATGGCTTTGTCAATCGGCCGGACTCTATACCAGG